TATATATATATATATATATATATATATATATATATATATATATAAACAAAAGTTCTAGAAAAATAGAATGAACAATGCACTATTGCAGACTTATATACTGAGGTTTTAATTATTTTAATAGCTCAGTCGTAAACTAAAGTGGGCCGGTCTAAGGCATGAAACTCCAGGGCTGAAAATGAGTCCCACTCCAGCCCTGAGTGTAGGCTTATACCTTTGGATGATAACAGTCAAATTCTCTAATTTAAATAACTAGGCAGCTGACTTAATGATAATATTGTATCATTTGTTTTATGCCATAAAACTATGCAGTTTCTGTGTGAATGATCTCTGGTGCATTGGCTATGATGCAAGGGCGTGATATCTTGCCTATAGGGCACCAAGCTGGTCAAGGCCAGCCCTGATTTGGAGTCTTTAACTCAAACCCTCTAGCACCACTAACTGTCCAAATTTGTACTTTGTTTACGTTATTAACCATAAGGTCTAGAAATAAAAATTAATATGTTTTTCTGATTTCTTTGGCTCAAGATGATTCGATTTGTACCCTAAGAGGTCATGTTGATGTTGTCAATTTTCCATCATGAAAATGTTCCTGCCATTTTGAATTTTTGTGAAAAACCTACTTTTTTCGAACTCCTCCTAGACCATTGCTCCATTTTTTGTAAAAAAATAAATAAAACCAGATCATCTTCAGACCATACTGACAAAAAGTTGTCAAATTCAAGTTGATTAGTTAAACTGTTATCAAATAACATGTGAACAAATTTCACAAAGAGCTTGCCAAACTGAATGTGAGGCTATATCTCCGCAGTGCTGTAGCCAATTCAGACCAAACTTGGTGTTATGACAACCATGACCAAAGGGTACCTGCACAGCCTGGTACCCAGCTATTTAACACTACTTTTTGTCACATCAAATTGTGGCTCATTATTATTAATAATAATAATACAAAAGGCTATACAATAAAACAGTACGATGACAAATTTACTTATATTAAACTTTGAACTTTTATTAACAATATGAATAAGGAAAATATTGTAACATTGTAACACAAATAAATAAACGGTCTTTGGATTCCCCTTTTCTTTAAAACGATCGTAGTTTGTGGTTCATTATTAGCCCATTAATTAAAACACATCAGCCATAAAATAGTACAATGGCAAATTCGCATAGGCCTATATTAAACATCTAACTTTTATTAACAAGATGAATAAGACGGATATACTTGCGTTGTAACCCAAATAAATAGCCTAAGGTCTTTTCCCTCTTTTAAAACAAATACTTAGTTTGTGGTTCATTGTTTTATTTATTCATTTATTTATTTAGGCTATATTTAATGAAAACAGCAACAATAAAGACAACTCGCTTATATTAAACGAAGAAATGAAACATTTATTAACAAAAGGTGCGCTTTTGGATCATAGTGTCTCGCGTCACTCTCGTCACGTGACCAACCCCCCCCCCCCCCCCCCACTGCTTTAGATGCTTCATGTTTCATTGTCTAAGAAAAACAACAGTCATACACAGAGAACAAATTAAAACAAATTTAAACAACTAACTTCTAGTTATAACTGATATAACTGACATTTGTAACATGAAGCAAATAAGGATATCATGGCAGTTTGAGAAATATACATGATGTTTAATGGGTACAGTTGAAACGGTGTTTCTTGCCGTTTTTAAGAATTATATAGCACTTATAAATGATTAATAGTACTTATTAAAATGATGTGGTTTGTAATTGGTAAAATGTGCTTGGAAATAAATGATCAGAATATCAACTTGCCTAATCCTTTTGCATGCACTGTAATTTTAATCTTTAATTGGGCTGTTGTTTTGTAAGCAAATTATACTCTAGCAGGGGTTTGCATTGCCTTGAATAAAATGAAGAACTAAAATAAAAAATTTTTAAAACCAATAATGTAATAAACAAACATTCTTCAAAATATCTTATTTTGTTTTCAATGGAAGAAAGACATTCATACAGGTTTGGAACAACAGGGTGAGTAAATTAAATGTTTGGGTCAACCGTCCCTTAAATAAATTAGCAATTATGGAATTAAGGAAATCAGTCGGTTAACCACTTGATTATAACTATCATTTTAACTCTATAGGCACCCTAATAAAAAGGGGACAATAATCTTGAAGCCTCTGTTCAGTGAAGGTTCAAGAGTCTAATATTTCTATTGGCTTTACTGTGGATCTGCTGTGTATAATAATAAAATGAAAAACGATATACAGTGGGTATAGAAAAGAATCACCTCTTCCCCCATTAAAATAACCACATTTTGTTGCTTTGCATCCTGAAAAGAAGACGGACACAGTTTTTGTTTTATCCAGCTGTATATAACAACAAGAAGTCAGGGGAAAAAAAGAAAAACAGAATCACTGAATTGGAAAAAGGATCCCTCCTTGTATCAGTATTTTGTTGAACCACCTTTTGCTTTACAGCCTTTAGTCTGTTGATTCGTCTCTACTAACTTTGTACATCTAGACTT